AGGGAAATTTAAGCATCTGTCTTACATGCTGCACAGTCCTCCTTCAGTTAAAGTAATAAGTTTATTTAAACAATTTGAAAAGGATTATCAGCAGACATTTTTAACAAAGCAGATAAAGACAGTGCAAATAAATGTATGAAAAAATGTTCACCATAAAATATTCTTAGGTAGATGGAATTAAAACGAAAGCGAGTTAACATTATATGCATTTCCGGGGTTATTATTTGCAAAGGTTAAACACTGTATGTCCTTGCAGGGTTACAGAATAATTGGAATTTTTATATACTGTGGGTTAAGGGGAAGGCAAAGGGAATGACCATTTTGGCTCACATTTCTGCATATCTTAAATGTAGAACATTCACCTACACAACACTTTGATAAGTAAAACATATGTCTATATAGAGAACTTAATGCAAATATTCTCAAAAGATTTACTTATAATACACCAAAACCTGGAAATAATATAAAAAACACATAGATCAATAGATAAAGTGATTATTCACAGAACACAATACTACTCCGAAATTTTAAAAAATTAACTTTTCACAGAACCATTTGTGTTGAATCTCAAAATGATTGCGTAGCATGGAGGAAACCAGAATTTGTTAAACAGTACACATCAAATAGCGCCTATAAAATTGGGAACAGTATGAACTAAGCTATTGTAAAAGAAGGAAAATCCATGACTGCATGGAGGGCCCAGCAAGGCAGAAAGAGAGATTATAACAGGAACACATAGTAGGAAAATACAGGACGTGGCAGAAGTAAATTTAGAGATGATGGTATGGAAAATATTAAAATACTCTATATAATAAAAGCCCATTAATCTATATAATAAAATGACCATTACAGTAGAATGACTGGTTGTTATGATGTGCACTGACCACCAGGGGGCAGATGCTCAACACAGGAGCTGCCCTCCGGTGGTCAGTGTGCTTCCACAGGGGGAGTGTATGCAGCCAGAAGCTGGGCTCACAGCTGGGGAGCACAGCAGCGGTGGCGGAAGCCTATTATAGCCCCACCCTGTGTATGAGTTAGAGGTGGTTTTACGTCACATCTGACAGTTTCACAGCTTTATCTCTAGGTCACAGCTCACCAATGAGCACACATTAGAAAGGTGCTCTCTGTTGGGTGTCAGTTCTCATTTCCTGGAAGGACCAACCTTGCCTCAGTGGCAGCGAATATTAGCAAGCAGTGAAGACTATTGCCATTGGAATCAACAGGAATGCTAACTGGTTACAAAAGACACATCTTGGGACTGATTACAGGATTATCCATCTTCTAGCTTTGAGTTCTTGTTTGTTGAGCAACAAGCTTGAGGTGACCTCCCTAGAGGGGCCAAGGGAATCCACAAACCCATGAGATTATTTTGTCTGCCAGTGACTCCAGCTACAGGAAACAGTGATGGCGGTCCTCAGAATGTCATCAAAGATAAAACAGGCCACAGGCCCGGGAATAATTTGGACTTATGCCTACAAGAGGCACTTTCCATCTAGTTTAACTGCAGTGTCTCCCATAACTATGAAATCAGTGTTTCTGTCCCAATGCTAATTTCACTTCAGGGTCTTAAATGACACCAGCCTATGACATCTCATACATCATGACACATGGCCTCTTTGGGGCACGTGGAGAGTAGTTCCCCTAAACATTGCTGACACTTGTGTAGTACATACTGTGAACAGGGAATATAATTCATACTGTTCACAGAAGCACAATAAAGGCCGCCTGTTCAGGGCAACTATAGACTGCTATAATAAAGGAGGCACCAGACAGCAAATTATTATTATTATTTTTTAATATTTTAATAATTTTTATTTCTTAAAGTATTACAAAGAGTATTACATATGTCTCCTTCCCCCCCCCCTTGACATTCCCCCGGTCCCTACCCCCCGCCCTCCCCCCCCCCCGCCCCGAGTCTTGTGTCCATTGGTTAATCTTATATGCATGCATATAAGTCCTTCAGTTGATCTCTTAATCCCCCCCCACACCCTCCCCAGGCTTCCCACTGTAGTTTGACATTCTGTTCAATGTTGCTCTGCTTCTGTATCTACCCCTGTTCATCAGTCTATACTGGTCCCCTTTATTTGTCCCAACCTCACTGGAGTAGTCTCACCCTCACCAGGGCCATCTGTGCCTCACCAAGGCCGATTCAACCTCACCGGGGCCGTCCCTACCTCACGGGGGCCGTTTCAACCTCACCGGGGCCGTCCCTACCTCACGGGGGCCGTTTCAACCTCACCGGGGCTGTCCCTACCTCACGGGGGCCGTTTCAACCTCACCGGGGTTGTCCCTACCTCACGGGGGCCTTTTCAACCTGACCGGGGTCGTCCCTACCTCATGGGGGCCGTTTCGACCTCACCGGGGTCGTCCCTAACACACCGGGGCCGTTTCAACCTCACCGGGGCCGTCCCTACCTCACGGGGGCCGTTTCAACCTCACCGGGGCCGTCCCTACCTCACGGGGGCCGTTTCAACCTCACCGGGGTCGTCCCTACCTCACGGGGGCCGTTTCAACCTCACCGGGGCCGTCCCTACCTCACGGGGGCCGTTTCAACCTCACCGGGGCTGTCCCTACCTCACGGGGGCCGTTTCAACCTCACCGGGGTCGTCCCTACCACACTGGGGCCGTTTCAACCTCACCGGGGCCGTCCCGACCACACCGGGGCCGTTTCAACCTCACCAGGGTCGTCCCTACCTCACGGGGGCCGTTTCAACCTCACCGGGGCCGTCCCGACCACACCGGGGCCGTTTCAACCTCACCAGGGTCGTCCCTACCTCGCGGGGGCCGTTTCAACCTCACCGGGGCCATCCCGACCTCACCGGGGCCATCCCAGCCTTACCGGGGAAACAGGAAGTTTGGCCCTCTGTCCCCTGCCGGCGGCTCCCCACCAGACAAAATCTCCAGGCGTTCCTGGTTGGTGAACATCCAGCACTCCTGCCCTCCACCAAGTGCACAGACTGCCTGTCTGCTGTCCCCCAGCGCCCCACAAGAGACTGGAACCATTGGGCATGTTTGTGCACTTGCTGGTACAGCGGTTCCACAGTGCCGGCCCAGACAGGCCCAGCCCCGGCCTGCCCCGGACCCGACTCCGCCCCCCGATTGCGTCCCTCCCAGATGCAAGGAGCTGAAATCTGCAGCCTGCTGGGATGGGCTCTGTACTTGGTGCCTCTACACATCCTACTCAGTCTCAATGCGCTTCTTTCTATGCGAGGAGTTGAAATCTGCAGTTTGTTGGGTTGGGCTCTGTACTTGGTGTCACATCCTACTCAGTCTCAATGTTCTTTCTCTCCTTCCAGTTGTAGAGCTTCCACTGGGCCAACTTTCCCATGGTTCTGTATGATAGGTGTTTGTCTGATATTTGGTAGTTTCGATGTTGTTGTGTGAGGTAGCACGCACAGGTCTCTTCCTTATGCCGCCATCCTGGTTCTCCTGGGCCTGCTTCTTGAGTGTGTCTCCCATGGCTGCGAGCAGTTGAAGTCTGCAATTTGTTGGGATAGGCTGCAAAAGCGCAGGTGGGTCTTTTTGTGCACCTGGCACAGCTTGGATGGGGATGTAAATTGATTAGGGCTGAGTCTCAGGGAGTCGCCATGGTGGAGCAAATAGCACTGGCTGAGTCTCCGCGGCCCCTTGAATCTCTGCCAGGGCTTTGTGTCCCCCAGTGCCGGCGAGCAGCTGTGCAACAGAGTCTCCCTCATTTTCTGATGGCTGCAAGGCCGTGCTGCCTCTCCCCCATAGGGTCTGGTGCCTCATAATCCCGCCTGAACCAGCTCAGTGGATTTGAAAGTTTGCAAAAGCAAAGGCGTTTCTACTTGTGAGTCTGGCACAGCCCAGATGGGAATGTAAATTGCGTAGGGCGGGGTCACAGGGAGTCGCCGGGGCGGAGACTCAGCGGCCCCTTGCCTATCCAGGACACCAGGACTTTGAGTCCCCCAGTGCCTGCGAGCAGCCGAGCGCCAGAGCCTCCCTTGCTTTCTGAATGCTGGAAGGACGTGCTGTCTCTCGCCTTGGGGCCTGGGGCCTCAGAGACCCGCCCGAGCCAGCTCAGTGGATTTGAGAGTTTGTAAAAGCACAGTCATTCCCTCTTGTGCCTCTGGCACAGCCCTGAGGGTAGGGCGGGGTCACAGGGAGTCGAGCGCCAGAGCCTCCCTTGCTTTCTGACCGCTGGAAGGCCGAGACAGCAAATTATAACCACAAAGTCATACACACTTTCTCTCAAGGCCTTGGTCAGCAATACAAAATCTGCCAATATTGAACAAAGAGTGATTTTCTGCCATCAAGCGGTGCCTTCCAAAGCACAGAAAGTTTGGGACCTACCATATCTGTTCAACTCTCCATGCTGACAGTTCACAACTTTCCTTTCAATCATCCCAGGGAAAGAATAGAACCAACAAAATTAAAGTACAAAACAAACAACAACAAAGAAACACATCTTTACACAAAGATCATAAACTACAGCAAAGGGCAGCAAGAGGTTTGCAAGTTGATGAATTGGAACTTGAAACAATTCATCACAGCATAATGTGAGAAGCACAATGTCCCTGAAAGAGGTAGCACTTCTTAGCTGAGGAGGGGCGCTCTGGACAAAACCTGGGTCAGGTCAATACTCTAGTCAGAGAGAAAGGAATGAAGATCCAGCCAAGAGCTCTTAAAATTCAGAAATATCTCAACCACATCCCCAGAGTATGCAGGGGTTGTGACTGATGCAGACTCCTCAGGTAAGCCAGGCGGTAGGGGTGAAATAGCTTCCACACAAATACTTGCAGTGACATAAATCAGGTTGTAGGCCTGAGTAGGTTAGCAAGTGTGATGCAGGTTCTGAAAGCCTGACTTATGCCAGAAATTTATGAGGAATCTAGCAGTGTATGTAAGGGGTTTTGTATTCAGGTAAGTGGGGGTAAAGAATTCTCCTTTGGTGTTACTATTCTCAGTGAGAAAGTAAAACATTTCCTGGAAATGTAAAGCTTTTCTCCAGTGTGAACTCTCAAGTGTTGAAAGAGGACAGATTTGTATGGAAAACATTTCCCACATTCAGCATACTCATGAGGCCCTTTTCCAGTGTGAACTGTGTTATGTTGGATGAGAGTAGAGCTTCTGCTGAAGGATTTCCCACAGTCACTACACTCATACTGCTTTTCCCCAGTGTAAACCTTCTGATGCTCTTTGAGAGTGGAAATGTTCTTGAATGACTTTCCACAATCACTACAGTCATATGGTTTTTCTCCAGTGTGAATTCTCTGGTGTACAGTGAGGGTACAGCTATGACGGAAGGACTTCCCACAGTCACTACATTGATATGGCTTTTCCCTAGTGTGAACTCTCTTGTGGCATAAGAGATAACTGCGACTAAATGATTTTTCACATTCACTGCATTTGTAAGGTTTTTCTCCAGTGTGAACTCTGTGTTATTTAGTGAGGGGAAAACCTGTGATTGAAGGGCTTCCCACAATCAGTACATTCATAGGACTTTTCTCCAATGTGAACTCTCCTATGTCTATTGAGGTTAAAGACACATCTAAAAACTTTCCCACAGGTATTACCCTCATATTTCACTTCTCCAGAGCAGACGCCCTGATGTTGAACAAGGTTCTGGTTGTGGCAGGTAGCTTTTTCACATTCATACCATTGGTGATGCCTTTTTCTATTGAGAAATTCCTCTGAAATCTCACTACGACTGTGTGGCTCCTCAGTGTTGAGAGTGGCCTGGTTCTGGAGAAGCTCTGAGATGGCTGGGAAGTCTTCCCCAACCTCCATACTGTTCGAAAACACACCTGATAAATAGAAGCTGCACCTGGTCACAAATGAGGCCCTGTCCACAGCTTCCTTCCAGGGCTTCTCTCCACTGGCATCCCTCTGCTGCTGGTGAGAGTTTGCACTGAAACACAAGTCTCTCACACATGCATCACTGAAGAAGCATTTGTGCTCAAAGAATTCAGCTTGTGACTCAGACAGGTGCACAATATCTTTTAACACTGAAAAACACCGTTTACAGGAATGCGACTTCTGGGTTGCTGAGGCTGTCTTAGAAGCCCTTTCCTGTGACTCCCCTTGTACAGATACACTCTGCTCAGAACAGTCCTCTGCATCATCTGTTTTATGCCAACAACCTGAAAACAGAAAAAAGGTGAGGAAATGAATGAAGACTGCAGTGACAGGGGGAAGTTCCATTACAAAGTAGGTGGCCTATGACAGCTTGGTTACATGCAATTGTCTGACAGTAACATATCTGTAGGAAGGATTGATAAGATGCTGTTGTGATGCTCTGGGCCACTGAAGATTACCATACAGGGAAGATCTCACACAAAATATGAAACAAACATGGCAAGCACCACATGGAACAGAAGCTGGATCATCTGCTCATTCATCTGGTAACAGTGTTCAACATGACTTGTCTTGTCTGCTGGTGACATGGGCAAGCTGTGCAGAATGTTGCTTACATCTTACTCCAAATAAAATTCAAGAAACGAGAAGCTTGTGTCAAGGTCTAGTGAAGCACGTCTGTGCACCTCATAACACACGTGCAGGTCAATATTTGAGAATACTGCAGATAGAGCAGTTCAGAATAACAGGTGATGGAAAAGGGGTAAAAGGTGAAGGTATCCAGAAACCAGGAAGTCACAGATTTAAAGATAAATCAGAGAAGTGTCAAGCATGTGAATGAAAAGGGAGAAATGAGCTGTTGCCAGTGGCACATCAACCTAAACTCTGTTGGACATGAGCAGGTTCCTGGTATGAACTAAACACCACCCTTATGTCATACCTCCCACAAGTTGCAACTCAAGAGGGCCAGGCAACCCTTTAGATCATCCTGCATGTTTACCCTGTGAAAAAACCAGGTTGAACTCTGGAAGCACAAAGTAGTTTTGAAGGCACGGAGGACACAATCACAGCCTGTTGTGACTCAACCAGCCTCAGACACACAACTGCACTGCGGGGACGCTGCCTCTGACTCTCGTGACCCAGCACTGGAGCCTCTGATTCTGTGAACACACTGCAAAGGTCAAATAAACCACCAAGAGAAAGACGCTAAAAGTCATGCTCAAACCAATGAGCTCAGGGATAATGCGCCTCTCCTGGACTTTCATTGGCTAAACCAGCCATCCTTAGCTCATGGCCCTTTGATGTAGCAATCTAGCCTCACATGTGGCTCCAGGATCCCAGTCACTCACTGACCATTGCAAATATTGTTCTGGGGCATCCAAGTGGCACTGGGAACTGACAACTTTAGGTTTTAGGGGCTGGTCACAGGTTTCTGGGGAGCGTTGTCTACAAAACTGAACTCTTGTTTGGAAACATTATTTCAGAATCCGTGATGCTTAGAATGCTCCCTCAGATGAAAAGTATTATTTCAATTAACCTAAGACTACAAATCTAAATGGATAAATATGTGTAAAGATATTTTAATTGAATTTTACAGAGAGAAGGAGAGAAACAGATTGGCTGCCTCCTACATGACCCCCTAATGGGGATTGAGCTCATAACCACAGCAGGTGCTCTCAAATAAGAACTGAACCGGTGCCCTAACCGGTTTGGCTCAGTGGATGGAGCATCGTCCTGCAGACTGGAGGGTTCCGGGTTCGATTCCGATCAAGGGCATGTACCTTGGTTGCGGGCACATCCCCAGTGGGAGGTGTGCAGGAGGCAGCTGATTGATGTTTCTCTCCTATCGATGTTTCTGGCTCTATCTCTCTCCCTTCCTCTCTGTAGAAAATCAATAAAATATATTTTAAAAAAAAAGAACTGAACCAGCAATCTGTGCATGGGCCTACGCTCAACAAACTGAGCCACTCCAGCCTGGCATTTTTTTAAAAAACATCAAAATATGCCATTATTAAGAGAAAAAGCAGGCTATGAGAGAACATACAAAATCCTATCCTCTTCGTTTAAAATGAAAATTTGAAAAGATACATAGTCCAACACATTGACATTGCCTACATTGCCTACATTGTCAGCATGTCTGTAGTCAGTACACATTGTGAAGCTAAGGAGTTAAGAGGTACTGAATGTTCACTACAGGTGCCAGGCCCTGGATTCAATGCTTCACATGCATTATTATTTCATTTAATCCTCTCTGCAACTTGAGATGGTTTAATCATATATTTTTGGGGGAGGAAATCCAGGCTCAGAGACTCAATATAAATTGCTTGTTTTTAGAGTTAATAAAGGCAGGGCTGGAAGTCAACCCATGTGTCTCTAACAACAGAGCTCTGACTTCTAATGTTAGGCTCTGCTGCCTCCTTGAGGGTAGAATAGGGGATGTGTATCCATTAGGACAGGCTAGATGTTATTGTGGGTAATGAACAGACCCAAAGCTTTAGTGGCTTAGAGTAAAGAAGGTATCTTTCTTGTTCATAGCACACGAACACCCTGGTTCTCCTGGATAATTAGGATAAAGGAGCAGCCAACATGTAGGTTCCTGCTGGGTGTTATCAGAGATGGACAGAGAGGGTGGCCCATATCACTGGTTCCAGAGTCTTCTGTTAGAGGTGACAGGCTTGACTCCCACCACATTTCCTTGGTCAAAGCATATAACTGCCTGCAGTCGACATCAGGGTGTCAGTAGCAGAGCCTGACCTACTTGATGGGCCCCAGGAAGGGACCACATGGTGCCAGTCTCTTTTGGGGCTGCTCGGGGGCAAAGGAGAGGAGTTGGGATTGGGAGGAAATGACAGTGGAAATCAGTCAGGATAGTTTGCTTTCTCCTCATGCACCTAGACTTTGTCCCCAAGCTGCCCAAACCCAATATTCATGGGAGTGAAGTTCAAAAAATATAGTTTGGTCTGATGTCATGGGCAGAAAACTCAGAACCCACTTTTGAGTGTGACCCTGGGTAGATCCTGTTGCCTGGGCTCCCCCACTGTGGTGGGCATGAAGACCACATGTTAATAGAGTTGACTGGGAAGGTGACTGGACTGAAAGCCTTCCAGCATGCACGTTCTTTTTTATTAACATGTACCACGCATGTACCAGCATGTGCCATGGGGTATATCCAGTCTCTACCCTGCCTCTAAGCCTCTTTGTCATTTGCATTGCCCAGGTGAGTGCTCCATCAGGTGGGGCTGATTGGAAAAACGCTGACATTAACATCAATGGTGATCCTGTGGTTTCCATTCATTCTGTGCATGAACCTGCGCTAAATGTGGTCGCTTCATGTTTTCCCCATCCCCACTGCAAAGCGCAATGAACCTATTCTGCCTGCAGGCCCCAGTGTTACCGGGTGACCATGTACACTCAGTAGATGACCAGAGATCAGAGGTCCAGGAGTGATGCTTGAGCAGTCCAGGCACCTTCCTCTATGAGGTGTCAGCAGAGATTTTATGTGGACAGGGAAGTGACCTGCTCTCCAGGGATTAGGAGTCCCACAGGACCCCCAGCCCTGTCCAGAGGTATCCAGTTCTTCATTGCCAAGGGGACGTAGGGGTCAATGAATCACCCCCTTCAGCCCTCCCCCATATGCACATACCCACTTATTCATTTCCAGGGAACCAGGATCCTCCCACTCCTCCTCAAAGACCTAGAGTCCTCCCCAAACAACACCTCCACACTCTATAAGTCCTTTCTGACACGCCAAGTCCCCACCTCCCCACAGACTAGGGTTCTATGAACTGACACTTCACTTCATCCATCCTTGGTGTCTGAGATGAGACCCCCAGGGGGACACCAGAGGCTGGAAGAGCAGGGACAGAAGAAGCTCAGCCTGGAGCTCAGGGAAGAACATATTGTCCTCTCCATCACCTCTCGGGAGATTACTATGCAGCTGCCAGTTGTGCGGGTGCACAGCCACACAGACTCAGAGGTAAACATACAGACAACTGAAGCAGGGAAACACTCAGGCACAGAGCACTCACAACCTATGGTGGGCACTCAGGTGCAGAGCTTACGGCCAGGCTCACAGGGACCCACACTGTAGACACCAGTAAAATCTTGATGGAAACACACACAGCAACACAAAGTTAAGAAAACACAGGTGTGCTGAGCCACCTCAGCCAAGGGTTTGAAAGCCTGAGTGAGGGCAGCGAAAGGATGAAGAAATGACAGACAAAGAGAATAAGCTGGGTCTAGGTGGATCTTCCTGTGCCGGGCTGAGGCCACAGAGAGAGATATCCAGAGGCAAGCTGAGACTTTATTTTAAAGCCAGAGGTAAACAAGGTAGCGGTCACCATAGTTACAATGTTCTTATGAATTTCACTTGTTTTGGCAGCACTTGCTGCATCTCCCACAACCCATTAGCTACCCAGGCAAGATCTAGGGAGCGTGATAAGGTCAAGCCTAATTATGCTAAGGGGACTGTGCCCTCTAAGCTGGGACTTGTTTGTGGCTTTGCCAAAAGGTTAGTCTGAGGCTTAACCCTATAGCCACACCCTACACCCCTGAGAAAGGGTCGTTCGACCCTCAAAGGGGTCGCGATCCACAGGTTGAGAACCGCTGCTTTAAAAAATATATATATTATTGATTTTTTACAGAGAGGAAGGGAGAGGGATAGAGAGTTAGAAACATTGATGAGAGAGAAACATTGATCATCTGCCTCCTGCACACCCCCTCACTGGGGATGTGCCCGCAACCAAGGTACATGCCCTTGACGGGAATCGAACCTGAGACTCTTGAGTCCGCAGGCCAATGCTCTATCCACTGAGCCAAACTGGTCAGGGCTGAGAACTGCTGCTTTAAGGGATCTCACTCAACCTGCAACTGGGGCAGCAATGAGCAGCGATAGCTCATCCTGGGCTAACCCCCTGAACTGACGCTCAGGCCTTCTTTTCTCTGATTCCCCAGTGAGCTCACAGCAGGCCCCTTATGCTCATTTATTTCCCACAATGTTTCTAGGAGCCAAAGGAGCCCAGCCTCATCTCTCTGCTGTTCCTTGTTCTATTCTAAGCCCCAGTTTTTCTTCATTATGCCCAGCTTTAATAAGTATTCCCTCAAAATCTCTGAACTCATGTTGTAAAATATTTTGTGCATGAAGTCAAGAACTCAAACACTATAATGCCAAGCTGAGGCAGGCCAGCTCCAAGCTGGTTCCTATTTCCTAAAAGTTATGCCTGGGACATCCTGTATAAAGACAGAACAAGGCATGATTTTGCTCACAAGACTTGGAAGAAAACCTGATGACCCACACTCACTTTGCCTCTGTTGAGTCAACTCAATCTTAACACTATTCATTTTTTAAATGTCTTTATTGACTTTTTAGAGACAAAGGGAGAGGAAGAAACATCAATGATGAGAGTCATTGATCAGCTGCCTCCAGCAGTCCCTCAGAAGCCACGCCCACACGCCACGCCAATCAGGAGTGAGTATGCAAATAAACCCAACCAAGATGGTGGTGTCCATAGAGCTGGAGCTTCCCGCCTGCCCTGGATGGCTGTGGGCTCCCCTCAAGGCTACAAAGTTTCAATTATAGAAGATAAATATATTCCAGATACCTGCTTCCGGCCACTGTGGCCTCCGCTCAAGGAAGGTCTGGGAGCCTGGGTTGCCCAGGGCCATGGCCAGCCTGCAAACAGCCATCAGCCCCTCACTCAGGCTGGCCAGGCATCCCAGTGGGGACCAGCACCTTGAAGGGGGTTTGGCCATCATCCAAACAGCCATCAGCCCCTCATCCAGGCTGGCCACACCCTCATGGAGTAAGGGTCCCCGCTGGGGGGCTTGGCCAGCCTGCAAACAGCCATCAGCCCCTCACCAATGCTGGCCAGGCACCCCAGTGGACACCCCATCCTGAAGGGGGTGTGGCCAGCCTGAAAAGAGCCCTCATCCCCTCACCCAGGCTGGCTAAGCACCCCAGTGGGCCCCCCACCCTGAAGGGGGTGTGGCCAGCCTTCAAACAGCCTTCAGCCCCTTACCCAGGTTGGCCACGCCCCCCTAGCGGGGACCCTCACCCCATGGGGTCGTGGCCGGCCTACAAATCACCAGAGGCCCCTCACCCAGACTGCCCCACGCCCCAAGGGAACCCCCCCCTCCATCCAGGACACCCTTCAGGGCCAACCAGCAGGCTACCACCCATGCACCAGGCCTCTATCTATACTAATAAAAGGGTAATATGCTAATTAGACTGGGAGAACTTCCAGGAGATTTTCTGGATGTTCTTCTGGACAAAGCCATGGTGGCAGGGCCGAGGTAGAGGCGGTTAGAGGCCAAGAGGGGAGTACAGTTTTGGGTGATCAGGCTGTTGGGGGGAGGGGCTGTTGGGGGTAAGCAGACCAGCAGGGGGCAGTTGGGGCAAGCAGGCCATCAGTGGCAGACAGTTGGAGGTGATCAGGACAATGGGGGCGCAGTTTGGAGTGAGCAGGCCAGCAGGGGGGCAGTTAGGAGGGAGCAGGCCAGTGGTGAATGAAGGTGGGGGCAAGCAGGCCAGCAGGGGGGCAGTTGGGGATGATCAGGCTGGCGTGGGGGCATTTGGGGGCAAGCAGGCTAGTGGCAGGGGCAGTTGGGGGTGAGCAGACCGGCAGGCAGAGTGGTTAGGGGCAATCAGGTAGGCAGGCAGCAGGCAGGTGAGCAGTTAGGAGCCAGAAGTTCTGGACTGCGAGAGGGATGTCCAACTGCCGGTTTAGGCCTGATCCCTGCAAACTGGCAGTAGGACATCCTTCGAGGGTCCCAGATTAGAGAGGTTGCAGGCCGGGCTAAGGACCACCCCCTCCCCCTGCACAAATTTCATGCACCGGGCCACCAGCAAATATATAAAAAAACAAACAAAAAACACACAAAAGAACCATGGCCTCTTGATTCATAGCTTGAGGCTCAACCATTGAGGCACACCAGCTGGGATATATAATTTCAATTTTTTTTAAGTACATGTATTTTTTATTGTTTTTAGTATGACAGATGTCTCCCATTTAGACCCTGTGTATATATTCTTTGGTGGATCCCTTGCATTCCTCCCCACTCTCTTCACCTTGGAGAAGCCTCAGTCTATTTCAGTTAGCCAGGCCTCTGGTCTCATCTTGTTCCTCCCCAGATGTCACTTGGTTTGCCACAACACCTTTATTCCCACAAGTTATTGGCGGGGATGCTAGTAGTCGCCTGGGCGGTGGAGAAAACTACATGACCCAGAAGGACATATGCCGGTGTAGGCGGAGCTAAAGGGCATTTTGGTGTCTGTACATCCGGTTAGGGCGGGACTTCCGCCTTCCTCCTTCTGGCGGACATTTTAACTTTTTGGTTCTCTGTTAACAGGCTCCCAGGCTTCAGGGCGCTGGTCGTGAGGAGGAGGAGGCCTGGGAGGCAGCGCGCCTGCTGTGCGGGGTGTGTCTGAGGCTCCTTGAGCCCAACAGCCCGAGATGGGCGTCCCCGTGCCTCCCGGACTCCTCTCTGCTCACAGCGTCCCCGCAGCCTGACCCCCTTTCACCCTCCAGCCTTGGGGACCGGCCTCTCAGGTCCCGCCGCTCAGGCCCCAGCGCTCAGAATGGTGAGTCCCTCGTGGGTGACACATGGCTGATGGGGGATGAGGGTGAAAGGCTGCAGGGCCGCCTTGTGAGGACGTGATGGTGCGACTGAGCAGGGAGGACTCGGGAACCCGGGCCTGTTGTGGGTGTAAAGGCAACACAGAGAGGAGGGCAGGTTTTGCAGGAGGAGTTTTACTTTCACTCTCAGGACGCTGGGGCCATAGATGGTTGTGAAAACAGAGGGACATTTTCTGAGGCAGGATTCTAACTTTTCCTAACATTGCTGAGGAAGGACAGACTGGAACACAGAGGAGAGCAGCTGTGGACATACTTTAAAGGTTAATCCACCTGAGCATGTGTCCTGACCAGGAATCCATCAGTGACCTGCAGGGTCATAATTAACACTCAACCACTGATCCACACCAGCTGGGCTTTCCTAAGATTTTCAGGGATCCCACTCACCTGTAACCAGGGTAGCAACTAGCAGTGGCAGCTCATCCTGGGCTAACCCCCTGAATCTGCACTCAAGACCTCCTTTCTCTGAATGCCCAGTGAGCTAAAAGCATCCTCACTTTGGCTCATTTATTTCTCACAATGTTTCTAGAGAGTCAAAGGAGCCACACCTAATCTCTCTGCTGTGGCTTGTTCTATCATAAGGCCTAATTTTTCTTTCATGATCCCCAGCTTTAATTAACGTACCCTCAAAATCTTCTGCACTCATGTTGTGAAATCTTTTCTAACATGAAGTAATGAACTCAAAAACTGTAGACCAAGCTGAGGCAGACCCACTGCAGGCTGCTTCCTGTTCCCAAACACAGTTATGCCTGGGACATCTTCTATAAAGACAGATCAAGGCATGATTTTGCTCAGAGGACTGGGAACAAAATATGATGCCCTCATTCACCTCAGTGTTGTTGAGTCAAATCAATCTTAACACTATTTTTTTTTTTATTTTTTTAGAGAGAGGGAGAAACATCAATGATGAGAGAGAATCATTGATCCGCTGCCTCATGTGTGCCTCCTGCAGGGATGGAGCCCCCAACCTGGTCATGTGCCCTGTCCTGGAATTGAACCAGAGATACCTTGGTTTATGGGTCCACGCCCAACCACTGAGCCATGTCATGTGGGCAAACTATCTTTATTTTTATCAACTCTGTTACAAATAGTCCCAATTTCCTCCATCCTCATCCCCCTTTGCTTACCTCTATCCTGCCCCCACCATTTCTAGGCCCTCACCACATTATTATCTATGTCCATGGACTATGCATATATGTATATACTTTAAAAAATATATTTTTATTAATATTAGAGAGAAGAAAGGAGAGGGAGAGATAAATATATCAATGATGAGAGAGAATCACTGATTTGCTGCCTCCTGCATGTCCCCATCCCCACCCAACTGAGAATTGAACCTACAACCCATGTATGTTCCCAGACCAGGAATAGAACCATGACCTCATGAATCATAGGTCAATGCTCAACCATTGAGTAACACCAGCTGGGCTATGTTATTTAAAATAAAATATATATATTTTTTATCATTGATAGTATTACAGATGTCTCCCATTTTTGCCTGTGCCTATATTCCTTGGGGGATCTCTCCCAGTTCTCCCCACAACCCTCTCCCTGGGAGATCTGCCCCTCTGTTCCAGCTAACCAGGCCTCTAGTCCCATCTTGTCCTTCCCCAGGGCCACTTGTTGAACCATATTACCTTTATTCACCAATGTCATTGGCTGGGATGCTAGCCCTCCCCTTGGCATTTGGGAAAACTACATTACCCAGGTGGAATGTGCCAACATGGGTGGAGCTAAAGCGCAATTTTGGTGTCAGTGCATTTGGTTAGGGCGGGACTTAACCTTCTTCCTCCTGGCAGGCATTTTGACCCCTTCAGTTTCTTCAAGGACTCAGAGGCTTCAGCCCACTGGTCGTGAGTAAGAGGAGGCCTAGGAGGCAGCGTCCTTGCTGTGCAGGGTGTGTCTGAGATTTGTTGAGCATCAACAGGCGGGGATTGGGGCCTCCGTGCCTCCCGGACTCCTCTGCTTACAGCCTTCCCGCAGCCTCACCCCATTTAACCCTCCAGCCTTGGGGACTAGTGACTCTCAGTTACTGCAGCCCAGGAAGCCGCATCCAGAACAGTGGGTCTCTCCTGGGTGACACAGGGTGTGATGGGAAAGGGCCACAGGCTGCAATGCCACCTTCTAAGAACACGGGGGTGGGGCTGAGCCTGGAGGCGTAGGAGACCCCTTGCCTGTTTGGGGTGTAAAGGCAACAGAGAAGATGAGGTGTGGTTTTGCACGAGGAGTTTTAATTTCATTCTCAGAACGCTGGGGCCATAGATGGCTGTGAAAATAGAGGGACATTTTCTGAGGTAGGATTCTAACTTTTCCTAACATTGCTCAGAGGAAGAACAGACTAGAAGACAGAGGACAGCACTGTGGACAGGGAGGGGAAGTCCTGTAAATGATAAGGGAACTGGCAAGAGTGAGCACTGAGCCCTGAGATAATTCAGGCATCTGGAGGGCACCTGGCCTCTGGGCTGGGCAAGGGCACTGAGCAGCCTGAGCCCATAGAACCTGGTTTTTGCCAGGTTCTCACAGACCATTTTCTTTCCACAAATTGCTGCAAATGCAGAATCGATTAGGTGTACGGGTTTGTGGAACTTGTTTCAGGGCTTCACACTCTTGTGGCTTCTGCGAGAGTAGTGTCCTGGGACTGTCAGCTGCTCTTATAGCCCATGGACCTGGGTACTTTGAACAGACACTAAGCCCAGACTCCTAAGGCCACAACTAGGACTTCGTAAAGTGAACCTTCTTCCTGGAAACCAGTGTAATGAGTTGGAGGTCGTCCAGGGCAGTGGTCGCCAATGATTTGTCCGTGGACCACTGGTGGTCTATGAGGTCGGGAAGCTTTGCTGACGGCTGGTTTATGGAAACTTTTGGAGCAGTGGTCCCCAACTGGTGGTACATGCACCATTGGTGCTCTGTGAGGTCCAAAAGGTTGGCGGCTGCTTCTCCAGGGCATAGGTTCCAGCATGTGAAAAGGCTTTTTGTGCAGAGTGAGCTGATTCAGGAACCAGTAGGTATCTTTTTTAAATATATACAACCCAGGCATGTGACCTCACCAGTGCATGGGTCTCTACTCAACCAACTGACACACATGAGCCAGGGCTGTAGATTACTTTAATACAGGGAATCATGGTCAGGTTGGTAATGGTAGTAGTAGCTCAGAAGGGACAGTGTGAGCCTGAGAACTGGCTTTCCTGCTGGGGCCACTGTTTGTGGGAGGTGGGTGTCACAACACAGCAGAGGGAGAGAAGTTGTCATGTAGAGTTTGGGGAGAGGTAATCATTTTGCAGTGGTCAAGGCCTGTAAATGATGAATGGACCTGAGATTAACTGGAGGCTAAAGAATTATTCAAACAAGATGAGACTAGGGCTGGTACATATTAACTCCTCTAAACACTCACCAGGATTTTTTGCAAACAATAAAAAACAACTAATCCAAAAGATGCAAACAACAAACACCCAGATGAATCTGAAGAGGCAGAGCTTATTTCAGAAGGTGAGGTCAAGGAATTGAAGGAATGGACATGGCCATGATTCAGTATAGAGGAGGGAGAAAGAGAATGAGTGTATAAGAAGAAAAGCAAAAAACAAAATACAAAAAAAGAGAATATATATATATATATATATATATATATATATATATTTAAATATGTATATAAAAGAAAATCCAAATATATATAAAATTCTTTTCCCCTTCTTTAGTCTATCTATATATTTATCTATTTTGGAAAAGGAGAATAGAGAGTAGATAGGTCTGAGTGCTGATTGAAACTAATGAAGCTATTAGTAGAAGAAGAGAACAAGCGAGGAGAAGAAATACAGAAGCAAAAACAAACAAGCAAAATCGATAACATATGGATGGAATGTCAGAGTAACTTGTAACTTCCCTTTTTCTGGACCCTTCAGGGAATAATCAATGGGCCAGGGTGGAGACCACAAATTCACTCATTATTACTGTTATGCTGTTAATTAGTGACTATTAACTATCCTGTACAAACCTGTGTAAAACAGCATAGGTCTGTCATTTTACTTTTTATCCAACCCCAGAGGTTTCCTCACTTTGCTTGCCCCTGCCTCCCTTATCTATCACCAGTGGGTTTCATGTAGCCCACTTTCATCTCCTGCTTTGATTGCAAAGTAAGAAAATAGGGGAAAAGCCACCATTCTCTGGACATTATCTCAGTAATTTGAGATTCTGCTTTTGGCCAATTGTAGTCAGTTTTGCTAAAATAAACTGACAAAAATTCTTTACCATTTTGAATGTTTGTTACATTAAGATCAGGAAAGTGGGGCCATCCATGTTAGTGACAAAAACAAGGGATATGGTCTGAGGTAGGGTTCTAAACATTTACCCAAAATGCTCAGAGGAAGAACAGACTGGAAGAGAGAGGAGAGCAGTTAGGGACAGGAAGGAGAAGTCCTGTAAAAGTAATGCATCTGGCAAGAGTGTGCACTGAGGACTGAGCCCTGAGGTAATGCAGGCATCTTGAGGTCGCCTGGCTCTAGGGCTGGTAAAGCTACTGAGTAGCCTGAGTCCATGTATCCTAGCAGTGGTTGACAGGCTCTCAATAAACATTGATTTTTCCATAGATTCCTGCAAATGCAGAATCACTTAGGGGTCCTGGTTTGTGGAACTTAACTTTACAGCCTCCAATTCTTATAGCCTAAGATAGTGATCTCCTGGGACGGTCCTTTCCTTGGACCTGGGACCTTGAACAGACACCAAGCCCAGACTGTTAAGTCCAGGTCCAGTGTTATATGAAGTGGTCCCTGTTTGGGGCACCCAGTAGAATGAGAAGTTGTAGGTCCTCCCAGGCATAGGTACCAGAATGTGCAATGGCTTGGAGATAAGATGAAGCTGGTTACAGCACAGGGAGGTATTCTTTTTTTAAAAATGGGAACAGGTACCAACGGGACAGGAGTCAGGTGTAGAGGAACTTTGTGACAACCTGGGTGTCTGCTGTGCATGTTATGGGAGCAATGGGAGATTTGGAGCAGTGGAGGCAGGGAATGTGACCAGGGTCTCCTTAGATTCTGTGGCTGCAGCATGATGCACAATATGGGTGTGAGGGAGGTGGTAGAAATACTAGGAAGATAGTCTTGCTGAGTGTGATGGGAACTGGCCCATGATGATGGCTGTGGAAGTGGAAGAAGCAGTTGCATTATGGATTCTTGTTTTAGTTGTGGCCACATATATATTCTAATTTTGAGGACAAGAGAGAGAGAAAGGTAAAAGTCAGAGAAGTCTTGAATTTTGGATTTAGCAGCCAAAATTTGGAGGTATGGAAGCACCATCAACTGAGATAGTGAAAAATCATAGTAGAAGAGTAATATTCATTGGAGATACAAAAACTTTTCTTTTTGGCCTATTGGAGTCTGAGATTTCAGAGTAGTTCATGAGCATCTCTGACTCTGAGGGGGTAGTTTAAGATGAAGACTTCTTCAAAAGATTCTGGGGAATTATGGACCAGGAAGCACTTTAGGTCATTTTTTGTAATTGGAGGCCTAAGAGTAATTCAAACAAGTTGAGACAGGAGCTGGTGCATATTTACTTCTAAAATATCCATCAGGAACTTTTTGTGCCTTTGGGTGTGGCCTGAGTTGTTGCAGTCAGTTCGGTTGACTTGCTTAGGGCCATGAGTGGTTATCTGTGAGACTCACTGGGCATAGGGTAGAGGGCGATAGGTGATGGGACTTGAGTGATGAAGCCTATGACTGGTGAAGTGACATCAGGTGCAGCACCAGTGGAGGTGGGCTATGGACATCTGAGATGTGATGGGTTCTCAGTAGGTGAGGTTGAAGGAATAAACAGTCAGGAGGGAGGCCTTCATAGCAGGATCAAGACTGTTGCTATGACTGGACTATCAGAGATGGTGGAATCATTGATCTTCTTTGAATTTGCCAAGCATTCTCTGGAACACACATGCTGAGTACTGAGTAGAAAACCCAGGAGATGACTATGGGGGCTGTGGCTCAGCGAGTTCAGGTGTGAGAAAGGTGTAGTAGGAAGAGTGATTTGCACTTAGAGAGGGAGTGTGAATTCATGAAGACAGGGCACTAACATTGACATATGAGTGAATGAAAAGGGAGTCCATTTCTGATGGTGTCTTTATGATACGATATGGGGAATTTTAGGTTAATTTCTAACAAGATGTATTGTTGTGCTGCTACATGCCATGTCCAGAGCTTAGGTGCCATATATATGTCCATCTGTCATTTCTAGTTGAGGGCTGACCCAGTGAACAATAGGAATGGGATAGCATACATCAGTGTCACCTGCACTTGAAAATCTCCACCAGCATGGCGAAAGGAGAAGAGAGAAGGGTGAGAGAGAAATATATTACAGAGGTGGTGAACTAGAATTTTGGAAGAGAAGCTGATTAGAAGACAACCTGTTCTTGTGATGGCTTATTCATGTCACTAGTGAAGATGTGCCTCTGGGAATGAAGCTGTGAGACAAGTGTGGATCCAAGAACTATGGGCAGCAGGTAATGCAAAGTGATGGCCTCAGCAAACTGGGATTGGAGTCGGAAGTGTAATGGGCATTACCATTTTGGAGGGACAATTTGGATTTGGAGGACAGCATGGGTATTTCCTGACAGGACCAGTCTCAAATCCATCACATTCCCTTTATGTGCAACATCTCTTCCTACCCTACGTTACTGACACCCACTGTTATTGAAAAGGGGCAGTGTGACTCACATTTGAGGATCAGAGCACAGGTATGTTCTAACTGCTCATCTGCCTTTATTGTTGTGGGAGATACAGCATCAATAGGAATATAAGGAGAGATTGACTTTGATGAGACCAAGGCCTGCTATCTTCTCTGATGTGGGGAGTAGAGGAAGCAGATGGATGTGCAAGGTGAGGAGTATGAGAAGCTCGGAATCTCAAGAGAGAATCTTATCATGGGATGTACTGTCCTCATTATGACAGGATATGAACTTTGAGGACGTGGCCATTGCCTTCTCTCAGGAGGAGTGGGAGCTCCTTGATGAGGCTCAGAGACGTCTGTACTGTGATGTGATGCTGGAAGTGTTTACACTTGTATCATTCGTAGGTAAGACCTTCAACTCTCCTAGTGTCCTGACGTGATGCCCGCGCTTTATTTATTCTCCAGACATGACTCTCTCTCTTAAGGCAAGAACATGGACTCTGCTAATTTCCCCCACTGTCTTGTAGAATGGGCTGTGACTGCCAGTGCTGAGCTCTGCGTTGAGCCCTGAGCAATAGACTCCATAAACCTCCCTAACACCAGTTGCCTCAGAAACTGCAGGAAATGTCAGGGTGTCAGCAGTCTTACAGACAGCTTAATGGGTCCCTCCTGCTCTTCCTCTCCCAGGGAGGGTGACTATATCCAGATCCATGGCTTCCAGTTCTGCACCTTTCCTGTAGATAAAGACCTTGGTGAATGCCTGTGCCAGGTATTGTCTTTACCTACATGAACCAGGGGCTGTTCTTGTAAATCCCTCCTTTAATTGTTGTTTGTAATGTTACCTTCCCTGAATACTATTGCAAAGCTGCTCACCTCCGTTGTCTTTTCATTGATACTCAGAATATTTAGTTTGTACGTATTTCTAGAGAAGGAGGTACAGGGAGAGGTGCAGGGAGAACCGTGGGTTTCTCCAGGGTGAATGTACAGGATGATGGCCTGGCTGAGTGGCAACTCGGGGGAGGTATGACATAAAGATGGTGTTCAGATTGTACCAGGAACCTGCTCCTGTCCAGTGGTGTTTGGTGCCGGTTCTAATGGCCACCCCTCATTTATACATTTCCCTTTTCACACTTGACACGTTGGTGACTTGTCATTTTATCAGTGACTTCTTAGTTTGGCTATCTTCTCCTTTGTGTCCTTTTTACATCACGTATTCCTCTGCACATCTCTTTCTGCAGTATACTACAACATGGACCTGTGCAAGTGTTATAAGGAGCACATCAGTGGTCAAGTACTTCACAGTGGCCTCTTATTTTTTTTTTAAATATATATTTTATTGATTTTTAACCAGCCTTCTGCACAGCTTGCCCATGTCACCAGCAGAGAAGGTCTCCTGAAGGCTGTTAGCAGCATCCTGCACACCTCCAACTGGGAGTGTGACCAACCCAGGTACATGCCCTTGACTAGAATCGAACCTGGGATCTTGTTTTGTGATCTTCAGTGGTCAAGAACTTCCCAGTGGCCTCTTATTAATCCATCTTTCGGTCTTTCATTTTTAGCCAATTTCTTGAAACCAATGTAGTATGTGCAACACATTTTTAAAATGGGACTTCCCCCTGTCACAAGAGTTAACATTCATCGCATCATTTCTCTGTTTCAGGTCCTTGGCATAAAATGCATGATGTGGAGGCCTATTCTGAGCACAGCGTATCTGTAGGAGAGTCTCAGGTCAGGGCTTCCAAAACAGCTGCAGCCACCCAGAGGACCCATCTGTGTAAGCTGTGCTTCTCAGTGTTAAAAGATATTTTGCACCTGAGTGAGTTACAAGTGGTTCACTTTGAGAAGAATGTGTTCTTAAGTGATGCGTGTGTGAGAGACTTGTGTTTCAGTGCAAACCCTCACCAGCAACAGAAGGATGCCAGTGGAGAGAAGCCCTGGAAAGAAGATATGGAGAGTGCCTTGCTTGTGAGGAGTTGCTGCTTCTACTTATCTGGGATGCCTGCAGCTAGTATACAGGCTGGGGAAGACTCCCCAGCCATCTCAGGACTTCTCCAGCACCAGGCCACTCTTAACACTGAGGAGCCACACAGTAACAATGAGATTACACAGGAATTTCTCAGTGGAAAAAGACATCACCAGTGGGTTGAATGTGAAGCAGCTGCCAGCCAGAAACTGAAAGTTGCTTATCAGAAAGGTCTCTGCTCTGGAGATATGATTGATGAGTATAATAAATGTGGGGAAGTGTGTAGACGAATATTTAACCACCCTCAACATGGGAGAGTTTACACTGAAGAAAAGCCCTATGAGTGTACTGATTGTGGGAAGGTCTTCAATGAAAGTACTGCTCTCATTAAACACAACAGAGTTCACATTAGAGAAAAGCAGTGTGAATGTAGTGACTGTGGGAAGTCCTTCAGGAAAAGGTCTCACCTCAGGATGCACCACAGAGTTCACACTGGAGAAAAGCCATATGAGTGTAGTGAATGTGGGAAGTCCTTTAGTCAAAGGTCTTCCCTCACTCTACACTACAGAGTTCACACTGGAGAAAAGCCATATGAGTGTAGGGAATGTGGGAAGCATTTCAGTCAAAGAGCTAACCTCAATAAACACCACAGAGTTCACACTGGAGAAAAGCCATATGAGTGTAGTGAATGTGGCAAGTCCTTCAGTCAAAGGTCTCAACTCACTACACACCTCAGAGTTCACACTGGAGAAAAGCCATAAATATACAGGGAATGTTTTATTTTCACTTATTATAACAACACTTAAGGGGCTCTATGGGACCCTTTCCATGAATGTAAACCCCTTTTATGGGAACATACACGCTGCTAGATTCCTCATAAATTTGAGGTACAAGTGAAACTTGAAGGAGCTGCATTGTACTTGCTAACATGCAGAGACCTACTACCCAAATGATGTCACCGTCTGTTTCTCGCTGAATAGATTTCACCTCTACCACCTGGCTCACCAGAGGATTGTGCATCGGTCACAGTCCCTGGGTGCTCAGGGGAATGTATTCTGTGTTCTCACTTCTGCTTGAGGGAATTTGGCAGTATCTTCATTCATTTCTCTATGACTAGAAAATGGACCTGACCCAGGATTCCTTCAGAGCACCCCTTCTCAGCTAGGAAGTACTACCTTTTTCAGGGACATATTGATAAATCACATTATGCTTTGATAAATTTGGGGGGATTCTTATTCACCAACCTGGAAACCCTTTGCTCTCCTCTGCTCAGGTTTATGATCTTTTTTTAAAAGTGTTTTTACATTTGTACCTTTAATTTTTGTTTTATTCCCTGCCACAGATGATTTGCATACACAAATGTGATCTGTCAGCATATAGCGATGAATAGATGTGTTTATCACAAATTTTGTGTGGTTTGGAAGGAACAGCATAATGGCAGGAAATCAATTTTTGTCCAATATTGGCTTATTATTTATTTCTGCCCATGGCCTTGAAATAAAGACCACATGACTTTGTGCATTTAATCTGCAGCCTAGTGCCTCGATTATTGGTGAAGGCTAAGATCACTCTGAAGGTCGCTCTGCTTCTGTGACCAATATGAATCATGTTCTTTGTTCACAGTATGTATTACATAAGCCTCAGCAGTGTTTAGGGAACCTGCTCTCCACGTACTACAAAGGGGCCATGTGCTAGGAAGTATGAAATTTCATAGGCTGGTGTCATTATTGTAAGACTCTGAGGTGGAACCACAATCTGGACAGAAACACTGTTTCAGTAGTGAGTGGGAAAGCCTGCAGTAAATTAGATGAAAAGGGCCTCTTGTGAACATAAGGCCACCACTGTTCCAGGGCCTGTGGCTTGTGTGACCTTTATGTACAGACATTCTCAGGACCTCCAAAACTGTTTCATGTAGCTGAAGTCATTGGCAGATGAAATAATCTAATGCTATTCTGTATTCCCTGGCCTCTCTAGGGTATTCACATAAGGTAGTTGCTCAACAGGCAAGAAGTCAGAGCTAGAGGAAGGATAATCCTGCAATCTGTCCCAGGATGTGTCTTTTGTAAGCAGTCAGCATTCCTGTTGAATTTCATGGAAATAGTTTTTGTGTGTTTTTTTTTTAATATATACTTTTATGATTTTGGAGAGAAAGGTAGAGAGAGAGCAAAATATCAATGATGAGAGAGAATCATTGATCGGCCTCCTGCACACCCTGCTCTGGGGATCGAGCCCACAACTTGGGCATGTGCCTGACCAGGAATTGAACCTTGACTTCTTGCTTCATAGGTCTACACTGAACACTGAGCCTCACCAGCTGGGCTGATAGCAATAGTCTTCACTGCTTACCAATATTTGCTGCCACTGAGGCTAAGCTGGTCCTCCCAAGAAATGAGGAGAGAGGTGGTTGTATTTATATAAGGTTGCGATCTTAATTTTCTAACAACAGAGGGATATCTAGGATTTATATGGAACCACATTGCAAGGCTTTACTTAGGTATGTGTATAACTGATGAGCAAGGAAATGCACTTTTCTAATGTGTACAATTTGGTGAGGTTGTACATACGGATAATGCTGAGAAACCGTCACAGGTGAAATAGGCTTCTCTGTTACCCACATCCGTGTTGGGAAAAAAAGTCGCCTTACTGTTGTGAGTGTGCCAAACACACAGTTAATTCTTTTTTTCTGGTAGCTATCCTATCTAATAAAGAGGGAATATGCAAATTAGCCATCACTCTGCAACAAAGATGGCAGCACCCGTAGCGGCCAGGCGGGACACTGCGTTGTCATCCGGGCAACAAGGTCAATGGTTTTCCCACTGTATCTGCCTCCCAGGGGCTCACCTGTGCCGGCAGCTCCTATACACAGTTCCAACCACTGAGGAGTGGTCAGACCCCAGGACCACCATCTCTCCTGAGAACCAGGAGGCTGCTGCCCCGAGGTTCAAGTGAGAGCATGGCTCTGCCTCCTGCTTTTCAGTCCCACAGGACACAGGAGCAGAGTCCAGCCTTCATGGTCTCTCTGGAAGCAGCATCCCAGGGCAGGTGAGCAGGCTGGAGGTCATGCCTCAGACTCTGTACCCTCTGGCAGTGGGAGAAGAGGCAGCTCAGCTCCTCCTCCTCTCCCTAATCCTCTCTGTTTCTAACCATGGGCTTCGCTGGGAACTTAACTTTCTTTGTTAAACAAGGGAATTCTGGACAATTGTCCGAGCTCTGCAAACCCAGCAGGAGAACACGTCCAGGGCAGGGGTGGCCCCGCCCACCCAGGGCCGGGCAGTGACCATGCACAAGCACACACCTTTCTTCCCACGGAAGATGGACGGCTGCTCAGAGAACTCTGTGGAACAGCAGGGACCCATGAGCAGTTCCCAGGAATCCAGCGATGAGTCCACCTGCAAAGAGGGTACTGGAGAAGGGTGTCTCTGCAGGCGCTCCCAGCCAACCCCTCTGACACCCCCAATGACAAAGTTTCCCACGGAAACTGCATTGCAGGACAATACCTGCATTTCCTTGCCACGAAGCTCTCTGAGAAACTAAGAAAGAGGCTTCCAAAGCTGTGACTGTGAGCTCTTCACACAAACCCACATGACCGCATTCCTAGCCAGCACCCGGTGCCTGCTATTACCCATGGAACTTCCGTTCACACAAACCTATGACAGCACACCTCCATCGCTGCGATCTTAGGGGACTGTGATGGAAGAAGGCACCATGACTGCTCTGGGGATCCAACAGTGGGGCAACTCAGGGTGCAGAGAACTGGCCACATTCCAATGCCAGGATGTAACCATACTGCATGGGATCAAGGCTCTGACTCCCCAGGCGTGCCTTTCCTGTAAGCTACACACAGCCCCAACGGGCACTGCACTGGTGGGCATCATGGAGCAGATTCATGAAAGCCCTAGCCCAGGAAAGAGCCAGCCTCAGGAAGCTGGTCATGAACTGGCCACTGCAGGGATGGCCCTGCTGGGTGCCCCATACTCAATTGCCTGCTGAGGTCCTGACCCTATGATTTGGTTCACTTCTCTTCCTCCTCAGTCCCCTCTAGAGACCCGAACTTACATATGTATATACTCATCTGAAGAAAGAATGATCCAAAAATTTCCAAATTTAGCAAAATGTAGTAAAAAATATAAACCCACAGATCAAAGAAGCTCACTGAATAGCAAGCACAGGACATAAAGAAAGCTACATCAAGACATAAAAATCACATTGCTCAACACCAATGAAGAAAAGAAAAATGTTTTAAGTAGAAGAAAAGAGACACACTATACACAGGAATAAACATAAGGATTACAAAAGATTTCTCATCAGAAACAGTGTAAGGGAGAAGATAGTAGAGCAACATCATTAAAGTATTCACAAGGGGGGAAAATCTAAATTTATAATTCTAGACTGAGTGAAAATATTTTTTAAAATAGTTAAAATGTATTTTTCATATATAAAAATTGAATTTTTTTTATCACCAGCAGTAGTGTAAGAAATGTTAAAAAAAAAAGGTCCTGCAAGCAGAAATAAAATTTTGCCAGAAACAAATAATGATCTATGCCAAGAAATGGAAAACACCAAAGACAGTAAACACATAGGATAACATCCAATAGATGTTTCTTATTATTTTAATATATCCTATATAATAAAAGCATAGTATGCAAATTGTCCCCTTGACCAGGAGTTTGACCAGGGAGTGGGGCTGGCTGGGGGAAGGGAGGGAGGCCCTGGCCGGCAGCAGGCAGCTGCTAGGGACCGTACCAGTGCATGCATTTCATGCACTGGGCCTCTAAGTTTAAAGATAATTAACTAAACAAATAATAATGTAATGTCAGTTTTATAACTTCTGTGAAATTAAAATACATGACAGCGATACCACAAAGATTGCCCTGGAAAAGTGAAATTTTGTTACAGAGGAGTTTCTATACAGGATGTGAAATGATATAATATCCACTTGAAGATAGACCATGACAGATTAAAATCCTATATAATAAAGAGCTAATATGCAAATAGTCATCACACCTTCATGCCATCATGCCATAATGGCTTAGACACTCAACACTGGGGAGAGAGGATTGGGGGCCAGCCAGGCTGCAGCCAGTGAGAGGATCAAGCCACCTGCTCTAGGGTCCTGGGTGCCAGCAGTTGTGCCTGTGCCTCTGGCACAGGAGAGGGACAAGCCACCCGCCCCACAGTCCTGGGCGCCAGCACAGGGATTAGGCCTAAACTGGCAGTTGGACATCGCCGCAGGGGTCCCCGATTGATGAGGGTTCAGTCTGAGCTGAGGGAACCACCTCTCCATGCATGAATTTCATGCACTGAGCCACTAGTAACATAAAAAAAATAAATAAAAGTTTGGTATCACCAGTGAACATTACACTTCTACTATGAATATCTGCATCACAGTTGATGGTTCTTGCGTACCCCCAGCTGACAAATACAGACCTTCAAATCATCCTTGGCTCTTACCTCTCTCTCTCAACCTCACAATTAAAAAATCCAGGCGGCCACACCTAAAACACCAATCCAGAATCCAACTGCTTATTTCACATCTACAGTCACCATCATGGACCACTTACCATCACACTCACCAAAACTATCACAGCAGCTTAAATTCTACAACCTCCCTCACACCCATATGGTTTGTTATGCTTCAGCAACAGGAGGTTTAATGAGGCTGGATCAGATCACATGCCTTTACTGCTCCAAATCTTCCATTACTTCCTTCACCTGCAGAACAGACTTCAAAGGTATCACAAAGGTCCTCTAGTCCTGACTCCTGTCCCAATGTGACCAGGTCTTATTTTAAAAAATGGACATGCCCTAGCTGGTTTGGCTCAGTGGATAGAGCGTTGGCCTGTGGACTCAGGGGCCCCAGGTTCAATTACGGTCAAGGGCATGTACCTTGGTTGCAGGCACATACCCAGTAGGGAGTGTGCAGGAGGCAGCTGATCGATGTTTCTCTCATCGATGGTTCTAGCTCTCTATCCCTTTCCCTTCCTCTCTGTAGAAAATCAATAAAATATATATTTAAAAAATGGACAAAATGAAAATAAAACTCTAAGTTGGTTTTTCTCAGTGGATAGAGCACCATCCTGTGAATTGAAGGGTCCTGGGTTCAATTCCGGTCAGGGGCACATGTCAGGGTTGCAGGCTTGATCCCCAGTGGAGGGCATGCAAGAGGCAGCCCATCAATGATTCTCTCTGATCATTGATGTTTCTCTCTCTCCTTCTCCCTTCATCTCTGAAATCAATAAAAACATATTTTTATAAAAAGGACACCAGTTGGTTCCTGAATGAGCTCAGTCTTCACTCTAAGCCTTTGCACATATAGGAATCTGTGCCTGGAAGGACCTCTCACATCTGATCCCACTGTTTGCCAAAAAACGGAACACTTCATAAAAACCTAGAGATGTACTTAGAATTCTGGGCTTGGTGTCTCATCAAGGTTCCCAGATACAAAGGCTAGAGGAGAGGCAGGACAATTCCAGGATACCACTATCCAGAAGTCATAAGAGTGTGAGGCCCTGATATCAGTTCCACAAAACAGCACCCTTAAACCACTTTTCATTTGCAGGGATCTGTGTTATGAGAAATATCTGTTGAGAACCTGGCCACCACCACCAGGATCCATGGGCTCAGATTGATCAGTACCATTTCCCAGCCAATGGGGCCACGTGTCTAAGAAATGCCCACATTCCTTCAGTCCTCAGTGCACACTCTTGCCAGTTACCTTATCTTTCACAGGACTTCTGCTTCCTGTTCCTAACTGCCATCATCTCTCTTCTAGTCTGTTCTTCTTCTGAGATTTTTTGGGAAAAGTTTAAAAAACTACCTCACACAATGACCCTCTTTTAGTCAGGACTATTCATGTCCCCAGTTTCCTGAAAATGAAAGTAAAATCCTCATACAAAACTCTGCCTCAACTTCTTTGTTGCCTGTAGACACAAAACAAGTCCTGGGTTTCCCAAATCCTCCTAGTTCAGTCACACCTCACGTCCTTATGTTATGCCCAGATTTCAAGATCCCCAATAGACCACACCAGGGAGCCAGCTGTGTCCGATGCAAAAGCAAAGAGTCTTTTATTCAAACCCGGGCTTGGCTACCCTACCCTCCTTACTGACACAGCAGCAAGTGGCAGAGAGAGGGCCAGCCCTGTGGGGAGAGAGGTTTTATAGTAAGGGGAGGAGAGAGGACTGTGGGCCCTGCCAATTGGCCAGGCGCAAGTTGTATCTATGGTGCAAAATTCCCTTGATTGTCATTGGTTAGTTTAAAGAAGTCCTGGGTGTGGCTAGCAGAGGCTTGGGCTTCCGGGAAGAAGCTGCTTGCTGAGCACATGGCTGCCCAAAAATGGAGGATACAGGGCAAGATGGAGGGCATAGTCCTCACCCTTTCATTCTCCCCTTTGTCTTGGAACTTCCGGCTCAATCATGAGACAGACTGCATTTCTATTCCACCGTTGCTAGAGGCCTGTACTGGGCACATAGAACTATCAACTGAACTATCCCTATATGCTTAACAAATGGTCCAGTGGAAGGGAAAGAAACCATTTTAGCTTTAACAACTTCTATTGAAATAGGATTTTTCTTCTTAAAATTCCTCCATGGCTATCAAAAAGCCAAATTAAGATTAATTTGTCTACTGTATTCAATTTGGCCTGATGTTTGCATAAACACAACAAGAATGGTAAGCGACCGCCTTTGCTGGAATCTCATGGTTGAATCTTAATGTGCCCCGTAGGGCCAGGAAGCCAAGCCATCCAGCTGCCATCAGGCCCGCCTGCAGTATCTGCTGAGTTAGGTGACTCTCTCACCTGTAGCAACTCCACCTGGGCTCAGTCCTAGGAATAAAGACAGAAGAGAAGGTAGGAGTAAGTTGCCCCACCTCAGTTTCCCATTCTCTAGGTGGCCCAGAAAGATAATCAGTTTCTGAAATTGGATTGAGATGCAGCCCTCTGCAGGCACAAGGCAGAAACAAACCTAAATCCCCGCAACGGGACAATGGCATCATCTTTCATCCAAAATTATTTCTAAAAACAAGTGATCAACTACCCTGCCCTACACAGTCAAACACAAGAACAACATAATGAGGCAATGAAACATCAAAATATTGGAACTGTCAGAGACAGACTGCCGAAGAACTATTTTAGCCAGTACCGTTATAATAGCATATATTCGGAACATGCTTAACAAAAGTCGTTTAAGCCTTTTTGGGGGCCGGAATTGTGTCCCCTGCTCAGCTTATACATGGAGGCCCTCACCCTGAATACTTTAGAATGGGACTGTATTTGGAGATAGGAGTTTTAGGAGGAGATGAACTTAAAATGACCTGGTTAGGGTGGGACCTTATCCAATAGGACTGTTGTCCTGATAGAAAGAGGACATTGGGATACACAGAGACAGCAGGGATGGTTTTCCATATAGGATAACAATGGCTCAGTGGATAGAGCGTCAGGTCCCCGGTTCCATTCTGGTCAAGGGCACTATCTTGGTTGCAGGCTCCTCCTCCACCCTGGTCAGGACACCTGCAGGAGGCCAATCGGTCTTTCTCTCTGTCTTTCCCGCTCTTTCCAACTCTCTCTAAAAATAAAATCAATAGAGCCCTGGCCGGTTTGGTTCGGGGGACAGACCACTGGCCTGGGCACAGAAGGGTCCTGGGTTAATTTCCTGAGGAGGGCACATGCCCAATTCTGGGCTTAGTCCCCAGTGAGGGGCCTGCAGGAGGCGGCCAATCAATGATTCTCATCATTGGTGTTTCTCTCTCTCTCTCTCTCTCTCTCTCTCTCTCTCTCTCTCTCTCTCTCTCGTCTCTCTCTCCCCATCTCCCTTCCGCTTGGTAATCAATAAATATATATTTCAAAAGATAAAGTAAAGTAAAAGCCAATGAAAAAAAACCATTGGGGGAGGATTAAAAAAATAGAAGAATGATGTTTAAAACTTTATTTCATTTCGATTAAAAAAAACACACACACACCACACACCATGTGTGCATTTGTGTGTATATACACACACGGAAAAGATTTAGAAGGATGCTTGGAGATACACCAAGGTGCATCCCCGGTTAGCACCTCTGTGTGTCTGAGTTGTGGGAATGTAGTGTTTTTGTTTTACTACTTTGTGTGTGTGTCACATATCCTTTCCTCAAAATGGATTTATGACTCTGAGGATTCGTGCAGTGTTAACTCCGCCAAAGGATACTTCTGAGCATATTGGACACAATGATAACGCTCAGGAACTCTCACTTCTCACCAATTCTAACACTTGGGGTATCTTTCAAACCCAGAATGGCAAGGGAAATACAGACTTCTCAGCGAATAAGGTTAAGGCCATGGCAAATCTGAGGGGAAAACTCAAAGGTATGCCTATGGAATCGTCCAAGAGACCAAATAACTTCACATATAGACAGAACAAGGCGGAGCATCCACCGAGCTCCCCGATTAGCTCAAGGGGTCAGAGCAGGTTCATTCCTGGGGATGAGCTGCCATCTATTTCGTTCTTCTCTAATCAAAGCGATGGAGCCAGTGTGGCGACTGTGGAGTTGTGCTTTGGGGCAGGAATCAGAAAGGTACTGAAACGGAGTCCTTGTAGGGTGAAGGGAAGTGCCCTCAAGAACTCTGGAGGGCAGAGGGCTGATGTGAGTCAGGCCCGACTGCTGGTGTGCAGGTGTGCAGGTGATGAGAGCACAAGGTCATTCAGCCATTCTTTCCAGAAGAACTGATGGAGGCCTTGCTCAGACCCTGCTCCGCGGGGACCCACAGACACAGGGACTAGTCCTGCCCTCGGTAGGGCTAAGCTGTTTGACTGCAGACAGATGGCGTTCTCTCCCTAGGCTCCCACTCTTCAGCCTGTTCAGAAAGGTACCCTCACCCTGGCCCTCAGCTTCTTCCCCTCCAGCTTCCTGTCTTCCTGATAATTGACCCGCTTATGCAAATGAATTTCACCTGCCTCAGCCTCAGTTTCCTCCTCCAGAAAGGGATTCAGGTAACCAACAAGTGACCCTGCTCCCGCCACACAGGAAGCCCTCAAGGTTCCATTGGCTCCTGGGTCCCCCGTGGGAGGGGCCAAACCCCGCCCCTTAACCCCTGCACGCCTGGCCCCGCCCTCGACGCTAGACCTTCTATAAAGCTGCTGCTGGGCCTGCTCAGCACCAGTTGGCTTGTGGCAGACCAGCGAGAAGGTCGCACGTCCAAGCGCAAGCATTTCCCAGCCTCACCCGCCAGGGACTGGGTGCCAGAAGCTGGTTCCCGGGAAAGGAAGCACTGTGAGGAGCGGGCGTCGGAGGAGAATCTTTTCAAAGCTCCCCCAAGCCCACGCCCCGCAGGTGTCTCTTCCACTGGGGGACGAGATGGAGGGACACCCCCGCGCATCCCGCGGCGCATCCCACAGCTCTGAGCGCCCACGGAGAAAGCAAAGAGCGTCCTCGCCGCTCACGAGGCTCCTCCCAGGGCCGCACTTTCCTGACTGCTGGGAGGAGAGAAGGCCCGGCCACACAGAGCCTTGCGGCGGCAGAGGCCCGTCCCTTCCATGGGTGGCAGGTGCTCCCTGGATGTCTGGAGTCCATCGCCGGTCCCAGGCCCTGGCCCACGAGGCACCTCAGAGGCCTGCAGAAGGCCGCCGAGCAGCCTCTCCGGACAGGCACCTGGGGGCACCCCAGGGGAGAGGGGCTGTGAGTCGGAGAGGGGAGCGCCCGCCTTCCCACAAGGACAATCCCCCGCTGGGGGCCAAGGGCCAGGAGGAGCCCTTAGCTGGGAGCGCCCAGAGACCTCACCCGGCCTCCGCCAGGGAGGAAAGCACACGGCCTCTCTGCAGAGAAGGAACCGGGGGAAAGCTGTCCTCTCATGGGGTCAAGAAGAGGAAGGAAAGAGGGGGCAGCAGCCCCCAGAAGTCTACGCCTCCATCGGAGGTGGCTTCAGACAACCCCGAGAAGAAGCGAAAGCACAAACACTCAGGGGAAATACAGTCGTACAAATATGAGCAGCGTCTACAAGGCTTAGATGCAGGAAAGGGGCCAGGGGGCCTGCTGCCCACGGTTAGGGAGAAGGTTGGGGACAACCCCAGGACTCCAGAAGGGAATGTCAGAACTCCTCACCTGGGAAGGAAACCAGCAGGTCCCCGGTCTGAGATGGAGGAGGTAGTGGCCATGGCGGCGGCGGCGGAGGAGGAGGATTTAGACCCGCCCAGCATGTCCTGCGAGGCCTACCTCACCTACGACCGGCCTCCATCAGAAAAGGCTTCAGAAAACCCGGTGAAAAAGCAAAACCACAAACACTCAGGAACGAGCCAATCGGACAAAGCCAAACAGAGTCGACACGGCTCAGACGCAGGAAAGGGGGCAGGTGTCCTGCCGCCCAAGGTGAGACAGAAGGATGGGAGTAACCTCAAGACTCCAGAAGGGAAAGGCAAAACACCTCACTTGGGTAGGAAGCCAATAGGTCCCTCCCTTGAGGAAGAGGAGGAATTCCAGCCACCCACCATGTCTTTCCAGGAGGAGGACTTCACCTATGACCCGCGTCCATCACAGGTGGCCTCAGGCATCCCGACCCTTCTATGGGTGGCAGGTGCTCCTTGGATGTCTGGGGCCCCATCGGAGGTGGCCTCAGAAAATCCCCTGAAAAAGTGAAAGCGCAAACACTCTAGCCAAAGCCAATCAGACAAAGACCAGCAGCATCTACAAGGCTTAGGTGCAGGGGAGGGGCAAGGCGGCCTGCTGCCCAAGGTGATGGAGAAGGATGGGGACACGTGCAAGACTTCAGAAGGGAAGGTCAAATCTCCTCACTTGGGAAGGAAGGCGGCGGGTCCCTCGCCTGAAGTGGAGCAGGAATTAGACGCGCCCACCATGTCTTCTGAGGCCTTCCACACCCACCACCAGCCTCCCGCCAGGAAAGAGAGGAAGAGTGTCAAGGCTCCAGCCACTGCGCTGGAAGGAATGAGTCTGAGGAGAGAGGAAAGGACCAGCGCCCAGGCAGAGATGGGCAAGTCTGAAAAGCGACCACCACCTGCAGCAGCGGGGGCCAGGCTCCCACTGGTGCCCCCTGCCGGGTCACCCGCCTGGCCAGACCTCGGGCTCTTCCCGGGCCAGCTCAGTGACCCCCCACTTCCTGCCTTTGTGTCCACATCCTCCTTCCAACCCAGGCCAGGGGCGCCGCCTTCCCCTAGCAAAGAGGAAGGAGCTCGGCTGATGGGAATCAGGCTGCACTCCAGGACACCGGTATTCTCTGGGTCCAAGAGGGCTGGTCAGCGCAAAATGATCACCATGCTCCAGCAGTGTGTCCAGACCCCGCAGAACAACGTCAACTTGCTCTCTCAACTGAGAGGAGTCCCGTGTTCTCTTCTCCAACACGCTGTGGAGAGTGACACACCTGAGGAGCCGCCTGGCCTGGAGGAACACCATGAAGCACCAGCTGCAGAGACAGATCCCTTCTGGAAGCAGCAGCAGTGTCACCGCGCCTTGGAGAAAGCAAGGCGGGAAGAACACACGGCACAGCTGCGGCCCCAAGAGCAGGAGGTCCCAAAACTGGTCCTGCATCTCAGCGCCAACAGGCCCCAGGACACACCAGCAAAGAGGGCTTTTTCAGAATCATCTGAAAGAGGAGGAGCAGGAGCAGCTGTCCAGGAAAAAGCCCGGCCTGCCCCAGCCCCCGCAGCAGACACCCGGGCTCCCTCTGACCCTGCCAGTGGCCACAGCTGTCACCCCATCCCTGGGAAGCGGGTGGTCAGCGGCCAGAAGAAGCCTGTGAAGAAGATGGCACCGCTGATGGCCAAGTCCATTAAAGATTACAAGAAGTGGACCTACTTCCTAGGCTGAGGCCCGGGCTTGCCCTGGAGATGGGAATTGGAAGGAGGCCTGCGAGCACAGTGAGGGAGTGCTCCTTCCACAGGAGACCAGCATCTTGGGCGTTGTGGGAACTCTTGGCTGTGACTGCCATGGATTTCCAGGGTCGCACCTGTGCACCTTCCTGCCAGCGCAGTCGGGAGAGCTTGTGAGCCCTTGCATGCATACACCACACACAGAGAAGGATCTGGACCCACAGAGGACAGCCTTTGTATATCCGGGTGGTGGGAATGTGGTGCACTTATTGGACTTATTATCACTTCCTGAAATTTGATTTCCAAGTCTGTAACTATCCATGCATTACCTGAACTGCAATGTATACTACTGGGACTAGTGATCACAGTAATTACTGTCAGGAATTCATAGATTTGATCAATTCAAAGACTGGGTTATCTTTAAAACCCTCTGTGAGGAGCCATACACAGATTGCCCAACTCAATAAATGATGTTAAAGCAACCGACTCCTGGAGTTTGTTAGTGTTGTGCTTGAGAATTCCTGGGCCACAGCCCCTGCCTCCCTGCCTGGAGAGTGTGTGTGCATTTGTGTGTATATATACAGGCATAGAGAAGGCTCTGGAAGGGGAAATGGAGAGGTATGATGGTTCAAGTGTGTATGCGCATGTGACATATATACATATATGCGAGCTCTTTGATGTAGCAATTTCAATGATAGGCTTTATATCCTCCAGATATGACTGTGTGTGTGTGTGTGTGTGTGTGTGTGTGTGTACTCATTCATGCACAGAAATGATTGTGCCATTTGAAGCCAATTTTCCTCAAGGACATTCCCTCCTTCTCAGTGGCTGAGATGCTGAGCAGTGTGCATTTGAAAACCTCACCCTGGCCAGTGAGCTCCGTGCTTGGAGAATCAGCCCGCACTCCCAAGGGTCACAGGTTTGATTGCCATCAAAGGCATGTACCTGGGTTACAGGTTCAATCCCAGGCCCAGGAGGGGGTGGGGCCAAATGTGGGAGGCAGTCGCCAATCAATCTCTCTCACTTCCTCTGTCTCTTCTCTTACCCACGGTCCCTCCCTTCCACTCTTTCTAAAAATCAATGCGGAAAAAATATCCTGGGGTGAGGATTAACAGAAAGAAAGAAAGGAAGACAGGAAAAGAAAACTTCAAGGAGGTACAGGCACAATTGTTGGAATCCAGGAGCCAGCAAGAGTGGGAAGCCTGTAGGGGACCATAGGTAAAAATCTGTGAAGGGCTCAGTCCTAGGAATAAAGACAGAAGAGAAGGTAGGAGTAAGTTGCCCCGCCTCAGTTTCCCATTCTCTAGGTGGCCCAGAAAGGTCATCAGATTCTGAAATTGGATTGAGATGCAGCCCCCTGCAGGCACAAGGCAGACACAAACCTAAATCCCCTCGACAGGACAATGGCATCACCTTTCATCCAACACTATTTCTAAAAACAAGTGATCAACTACCCTGCCCTCCACAGTCAAACACAAGAACAACATAATGAGGCAATGAAACATCAAAATATTGGAACTGTCAGACACAGACTGCTGTAGAACTATTTTAGCCAGTACCGTTATAATAGCATATATTCAGAACGTGCTTAACAAAAGTCATTTAAGCCTTTATGGTGGCCGGAATTGTGTCCCCTGCTCAGCTTATACATGGAGGCCCTAAACCTGAATACTTTAGAATGGGACTGTATTTGGAGATAGGAGTTTTAGGAGGAGATTAACTTAAAATGACCTGGTTAGGGTGGGACCTTATCCAATAGGACTGTTGTCCTGAGACAAAGAGGACATTTGGTTACACAGAGACAGCAGGGATGGTTTTCCATACAGGATAACAATGGCTCAGTGGATAGAGCGTCAGGTACCCGGTTCCATTCTGGTCAAGGGCACTATCTTGGTTGCAGGCTCCTACTCCACCATGGTCAAGACACCTGCAGGAGGCCAATCGGTCTTTCTCTCTGTCTTTTCCGCTTTTTCCAACTCTCTCTAAAAATAAAATCAATAGAGCCCTGGCCGGTTTGGTTCGATGGACAGAGCACTGGCCTGGGCACTGAAGGGTCCTGGGGATGAGCTGCCATCTATTTTGTTCTTCTCTAGTCAAAGCGATGGAGCCAGTGTGGAGACTGTGGAGTTGTGCTTAGGGCAGGAATCAGAAAGGTACGGAAACGGAGTCCTTGTAGGGTGAAGGGAAGTGCCCTCAAGAACTCTGGAGGGCGGAGGGCTGATGTGAGTCAGGCCCGACTGCTGGTGTGAGGGTGTGCAGGTGATGAGAGCACAAGGTCATTCAGCCATTCTTTCCAGAAGAACTGATGGAGGCCTTGCTCAGATCCTGCTCCGCGGGGACCCACAGACACAGGGACTAGTCCTGCCCTCGGTAGGGCTAAGCTGTTTGACTGCAGACAGATGGCGTTCTCTCCCTAGGCTCCCACTCTTCACCCTGTTCAGAAAGGTACCCTCACCCTGGCCCTCAGCTTCTTCCCCTCCAGCTTCCTGTCTTCCTGATAGTTGAGCCGCTTATGCAAATGAATTTCACCTGCCTCAGCCTCAGTTTCCTCCTCCAGAAAGGGATTCAGGTAACCCACAAGTGACCCTGCTCCCGCCACACAGGAAGCCCTCAAGGTTCCATTGGCTCCTGGGTTCCCCCGTGGGAGGGGCCAAACCCCGCCCCTAACCCCTGCACGCCTGGCCCCGCACCTTCTATAAAGCTGCTGCTGGGCCTGCTCAGCACCAGTTGGCTTGTGGCGGACCAGCGAGAAAGTCGCACGCACGTCCAAGCGCAAGCATTTCCGAAGCGTCACCCACCAGGGACTGGGTGCCAGAAGCTGGTTCCCGGGAAAGGAAGCACTGTGAGGAGCGGGCCTCGGAGGAGAACCCTTCCAAAGCTCCCCCAAGCCCACGCCCCGCAGGTGTCTCTTCCACTGGGGGACGAGATGGAGGGACACCCCCGCGCATCCCGCGGTGCATCCCACAGCTCTGAGCGCCCACGGAGAAAGCAAAGAGCGTCCTCGCCGCTCACGAGGCCCCTCCCAGGGCCGCACTTTCGTGACTGCTGGGAGGAGAGAAGGCCCGGCCACACAGAGCCTTCTGGCAGCAGAGGCCTGTCCCTTCCATGGGTGGCAGGTGCTCCCTGGATGTCTGGAGCCCATCGCCGGTCCCAGGCCCTGGCCCACGAGGCACCTCAGAGGCCTGCAGAAGGCCGCCGGGCAGCCTCTCCGGACAGGCACCTGGGGGCACCCCAGGGGAGAGGGGCTGTGAGTCTCAGAGGGGAGCGCCGGCCTTCCCACAAGGACAATCCCCCGCTGGGGGCCAAGGGCCAGGAGGAGCCCTCAGCTGGGAGCGCCCAGAGACCTCACCCGGCCTCCGCCAGGGAGGAAAGCACACGGCCTCTCTGCGGAGAAGGAACCGGGGGAAAGCTGTCCTCTCATGGGGTCAAGAAGAGGAAGGAAAGAGGGGGCAGCAGCCCCCAGACGTCTACGCCTCCATCGGAGGTGGCTTCAGACAACCCCGAGAAGAAGCGAAAGCACAAACACTCAGGGGAAATACAGTCTCACAAATATGAGCAGCGTCTACACGGCTTAGATGCAGGAAAGGGGCCAGGGGGCCTGCTGCCCACGGTTAGGGAGAAGGTTGGGGACAACCCCAGGACTCCAGAAGGGAATGTCAGAACTCCTCACCTGGGAAGGAAACCAGCAGGCCCCCCGTCTGAGATGGAGGAGGCAGTGGCCATGGCGGCGGCGGCGGCGGAGGCAGAGGAGGAGGAATACGACCCGCCCAGCATGTCCTTTGAGGCCTACCTCACCTACGACGGGCCTCCATCAGAAAAGGCTTCAGAAAACCCGGTGAAAAGGCAAAACCACAAAGACTCAGGAACGAGCCAATCGGACAAAGCCAAACAGAGTCGACACGGCTCAGACGCAGGAAAGGGGGCAGGTGTCCTGCCGCCCAAGGTGAGACAGAAGGATGGGAGTAACCTCAAGACTCCAGAAGGGAAAGGCAAAACTCCTCACTTGGGTAGGAAGCCAATAGGTCCCTCCCTTGAGGAAAGGAGGAATTCCAGCCACCCACCATGTCTTTCCAGGAGTAGGACTTCACCTACGACCCGCGTCCATCACAGGTGGCCTCAGGCTTCCCGACCCTTCTATGGGTGGCAGGTGCTCCTTGGATATCTGGGGCCCCATCGGAGGTGGCTTCAGAAAATCCCCTGAAAAAGTAAAGGCGCCAACACTCTAGCCAAAGCTAATCAGACAAAGACCAGCAGCGTCTACAAGGCTTAGGTGCAGGGGAGGGGCACGGCGGCCTGCTGCCCAAGGTGAGGGAGAAGGATGGGGACACGTGTAAGACACCAGAAGGGAAGGTCAAAACTCCACACTTGGGAAGGAAGGTGGCGGGTCCCCCGCCTGAAGTGGAGCAGGAATTGGACGTGCCCACCATGTCTTCTGAGGCCTTCCACACCCACCACCAGCCTCCCGCCAGGAAAGAGAAGAAGAGTGTCAAGCCTCCAGCCACTGCACTGGAAGGAATGAGTCTGAGGAAAGAGGAAATGACCAGCGCCCAGGCAGAGATGGGCAAGTCTGAAAAGAGACCGCCACCTGCAGCAGCGGGGGCCAGGCTCCCACTGGTACCCCCTCCCAGGTCAACCGCCTGGCCAGACCTCGGGCTCTGCCCGGGCCAGCTCAGTGACCCCCCACTTCCTGCCTTTGCATCCACATCCTCCTTCCAACCCAGGCAAAGGGGCCCGCCTTCCCCTGGCAAAGAGGAAGGAGCTCGGCTGATGGGAATCAGGCTGCACTCCAGGACACTGGTGTTCTCTGGGTCCAAGAGGGCAGGTCGGCGCAAAATGATCACTATGCTCCAGCAGTGTGTCCAGACACTGCAGAACAATGTCAACTTGCTCTCTCAACAGAGAGGAGTCCCGTGTTCTCTTCTCCAACACGCTGTGGAGAGTGACACACCTGAGGAGCCGCCTGGCCTGGAGGAACACCATGAAGCACCAGCTGCAGAGACAGATCCCTTCTGGAAGCAGCAGCAGTGTCACCACGCCTTGGAGAAAGAAAGGCGGGTAGAACACACGGCACAGCTGCGGCCCCAAGAGCAGGAGGTCCCAGAACTGGTCCTGCACCTCAGCGCCAACAGGCCCCAGGACACACCAGCAAAGAGGGCTTTTTCAGAATCATCTGAAAGAGGAGGAGCAGGAGCAGCTGTCCAGGAAAAAGCCCCGCCTGCCCCAGCCCCTGCAGCAGACACCAGGGCTCCCTCTGACCCTGCCAGTCGCCACAGCTGTCACGCCATCCCTGGGAAGCGAGTGGTCAGCGGCCAGAAGCCTGTGAAGAAGATGGCACCGCTGATGGACAAGTCCATTAAAGATTACAAGTGGACCTACTTCCTACGATGAGGCCCGGGCTTGCCCTGGAGATTGGAATTGGAAGGAGGCCTGCGAGCACAGTGAGGGAGTGCTCCTTCCACAGGAGACCAGCATCTTGGGCGTTGTGGGAACTCTTGGATGTGACTGCCATCGATTTCCAGGGTTACACCTGTGCACCTTCCTGCCAGCGCAGTCGGCAGAGCTTGTGAGCCCTTGCATGCATACACCACACACAGAGAAGGATCTGGACCCACAGAGGACAGCTTTTGTATATCTGGATGGTGGGAATGTGGTGCACTTATTGGACTTATTATCACTTCCTGAAATTTGATTTCCAAGTCTGTAACTATCCATGCATTACCTGAACTGCAATGTATACTACTGAGACTGGTGATCACAGTCATTACTGTCAGGAATTCTTAGATTTGATCAAGACAAAGACTGGGTTATCTTTAAAACCCTCTGTGAGGAGCCATACACAGATTGCCCAACTCAATAAATGATGTTAAAGCAACCGACTCCTGGAGTTAGTGTTGTGCTTGTGAATTCCTGGGCCACAGCCGCTGCCTCCCTGCCTGGAGTGTGTGTGTGCATTTGTGTGTATATATACAGGCATAGAGAAGGCTCTGGAGGGGGAAATGGAGAGGTATGATGGTTCAAGCGTGTATGCGCATGTGTCATATATACACATATGGGAGCACTTTGATGTAGCAATTTTAATGATAGGCTTTATATCCTCCAGATATGACTCTCTCTCTCTCTCTCTCTCTCTCTCTCTCTGTGTGTGTGTGTGTGTGTGTGTGTGTGTACTCATTTATGCACAGAAATGATTGTGCCATTTGAAGCCACTTTTCCTCAAGGACATTGCCTCCTTCTCAGGGCCTGAGATGCTGAGCAGTGTGCATTTGAAAACCTCACCCTGGCAAGTGAGCTCCGTGTTTGGAGAATAAGCCCGCACTCCCAAGTGTCACAGGAGTGATTGCCATCAAAGGAATGTACCTGGATTACAGGTTCAATCCCAGGCCCAGGAGGGGGAGGGGCCAAATGGGGGAGGCTGCCGCCAATCAATCTCTCTCACTTCCTCTGTGTCTTCTCTTACCCACGGTCCTTCCCTTCCACTCTTTCTCAAAATCAATGCAAAAAAATATCCTGGAAGTGAGGATTAACAGAAAGAAAGAAGGAAAGGAAGACAGGAAAAGAAAACTTCAAGGAGGTACAAGCACAATTGTTGGAATCCTGTCACTGTAACCTCATAGCCACTTTAATGTTACAGCCATTGAAACGTCGTAGCATGTTAGGTCATAGACAATGTAAAGTATTAATATTTGTAATATCATAGCCATTGTGTCGGCATAGCCATTTTCAATATAGCCATCGTCACGTCATAGCCATCATAACATCAGAGCCATTGTAACATCATAGCCACTGTACCATCCTACCAACTCTAATGTCATAGCTTTTGTAACGTCATAGTCATGATAATGTCACAGCCATTGTAACGTCATAGCCATTGTGACGTTGTAGCAATTGTGACATAGCAGTTGTAACATCATAGCCCTTGTGACATCATATAATTGTGAAGTCATATCAAGTGTGACTTCATAGCAATTGTGATGTCATGCCCATTGTAACGTCAGAGTCATTATAACGGCATTGCCACTCTCAAAGCATAGCCATTTTAACTGGATAGCCACTGTGTTCTCATAGCCATTGGAAATTCATAGCCACTATGATGTCATAGAAATTGTGATGTCATAGCCACTGTAATGTCAAAGCCATTGTGATGGCATAGCCATTGTGACATCACAGCAGCTATAACATCGTATATATTGTAGTGTCATAGCCCCTGTAGTTTCATAGACATTGTAAGGTCATTGCCGTTGACTTCATTACTATCGTGATGTCATAGATATTGTGATGTCATAGCCACTATAATATCACAGCCATTGTAACATGATAGGCAATATAATGTCATAGAGATAGTAAAGTCATTTCCACTGTCTTGTAATAGCCATTGTGATGTCATAACCATTGTTATGTCATAGGCATTGTGACGTCATAGCCATTGTAACCTCATAGCCACTTAAATGCCATAGCCATTGTAATGTCGTAACCTTTGTAATGTCATATACATTGTAAAGTCATAGCATTTGTAATATCCTAGCCATTGTTTCGGTACAGTAATTGTCATCATAGCCATCGTCAAGTCATGGCCATCATAACAGAGCCATGGTAATGTCATAGCTACTGTG